TTAATATACACAATATTTTTGAAGTCTCTAATGTATTCCAATATATAAACTCAGTTGAACAGAAATGAGAAAACCTTTCTAATAAATCAGCTGCACTTTATCTTTTTTCAAAGGCTGCCTGAAAAGCAGTTGACTTTGGATTTATAAGCTATTGACAGCTGCAGGCAAACTATCTAGACAGTAACAAAGTACCCCAGCTAAACAGAGATCTTACATGCAGGTCAATTTTTTCTCACTATTCATAATGTGCATTTCTCACTGCCCCTCCTCCACAAATCTCAACCTCAAAGGTCTCATGTAGTGGCAGATCAATAACTGTCTTATTATGGCTTGCAGTGGAATTATGGGGGAAATGTTTTTTCAGCCCTCCTAAAGCAGTTTTGGCTTTAAACTGCAGGACTACCTCCAAAGTGAATTAGTAGACATAAATGTTTATTGCAGGAAGGGCAATTTGGATGTTGGAAACTACACCAATAAATCAAAGCAAAATTGATTGTTTAGTGATAAAATAGGATTTCCTTCTTTCCATCAGACACTTCTTGCCTCCATTTTCTGTGTTTTATTTCTAACTAGGTACTTACCTGGTGCACTGTTGCATGAATGCGTAGGTGAAAAAATATGACCGGAAAATTAGAGCAGAGTGTGCAATATATAATTAAATGTTACTAATTGAATACTGATTATAATTTTAAAAGAGGCCAAAACCCAGAGAACTTCAGTTTTGCTCACAATGCTGTCCAAGAAAATGGAAAATAAATAATTTGGCCTACAGTGGCATCAATTCATAGCAAAGAGAGATATCTGGGATCTCGCACCTCAGGATTGAAACAGCAGAGAAAGATTTTCTAAACAGAGAGATTTGTGGATTGAAATTCAGAATTTAATATGTAATTCACAATCCTGCAGAGCCACCTCTTCAGTTTTGTTCTGTTTTACAGAGAAGTGAATACATTATAGACTCTCAGACTTTAAGGCCAGCAGGGACCATCACAATCATCTAGTATGACCTCCTGCACATTGCAGGCCACAGAACCTCACCCACCCAGTCTTGTAATAGACCCCTAACCTCTGGCTGAGTTACTGAAGTCCTCAAATCATGATTTAAAACCTTCAAGTTCCAGAGAATCCACCATTAACACTAATTTAAACCGTCAAGTGACCCGTGCCCCATGCTGTAGAGGAAGGCGAAAACTGCCCAAGGGTCTCTGCCGATCTGACCCGGGGGAAAATTCCTTCCCAACCCCAAATATGGTGATCAGTTAGACCCTGAGCATGTGGGCAAGACCCACCAGCCAAACACGGGGGAAAGAATTTTCTGTATTAAGTCAGGAGCCCTCCCCAACTAGTGTCCCATCACCAGCCATTGGAGATATTTGCTGTTAGCAGTTGCAGATCGGCCAAATGCCATTGTAGGCAGACTCATCGTACCATCCCCTCCATAAACTTATCTAGCTCAGTCTTGAAACAGTTAGGTTTTGTGCTCCCACTGCTCCCCTTGGAAGGCTGTTCCACAATTTCACTCCTCTGATAGTTAGAAACCGTCATCTGAATTTCAAGCCTAAATTTGTTGATGGCCCATTTATATCCATTTGTTCTTGTGTTGACATTGGTGCTTAACTTAAATAATTTCTCTCCCTCCCTGGTATTTATCCCTCTGATGTATTTATAGAGAGCAATCATCTTTGGTCACATTTTCCACCTCCCCTCTGCCAGGTCAGGATTGTTCCCCACAGCTGAGGAGATTCTGGTTTTCAGTTTGTCTGTTTTGCTGTTTGATGGCTTTGGAAAGCTCCCAGTGCTCCCAGGAGGGATGGATTAGTAGGGATAACTGTAGGTTATGCTAAACAAGCCAAGCTCTTTGAATTTCCTCTCATAAAGTAGGTTTTCCATTCCTTGGATCATCCTAGTAGCCCTTCTCAGCACCTGTAACAGTTTAAATTCATCTTTCTTAAACATGGGAGACCAGAATTGCACAAAGTATTCCAGATGAGGTCTCACCAGTGCCTTGTATAATGGTACTAACACTTCCCTGTGTCTACTGGAAATACCTCTCCTGATGCATCCTAGGACTGCATTAACCTTTTTACAGCCGCATCACATTGGTGGCTCATAGTCATCCTGTTATCAACAAATACACCCAGGTCTTTCACTTCCAACTTGTATGTTCCCAGCTTATAGCAAAAAATCTTGTTGTTAGGCCCTAAATGCATGACCTTGCTTTTTGCAATATTAAATTTCATACCTTTCCTATTACTCCAGTTTACAAGATCATCCAGATCATCTTGTATGATATTCCGGTCCTCCTCTGTATTGGCAATATGACCAAACTTTGTGTCATTCACAAATTTTATTAACATACTCCCAACTGTTTGTGCCAATGTTGGTAATAAAAATGTTAAATAAGATTGATCCCAAGATCGATCCCTGAGGAACTCCATTAGTAAACTCCCTCCAGCCTGACAGTTCACCTCTCAGTATGACCCGTTGTAGTCTCCCCTTTAACCATTTCCTTATCTACCTTTCAATTCTCATAGTAATCCCCATCTTCTCCAATTTAACTAATAATTTCCCACGTCGAACCGTATCAAATGCCTTACTGAAATCCATGTAGATTAGATCTGCTGTGTTTCCTTTCTCTAAAAAAAAAAAAAAATCAGTTGTCTTCTCAAAGAAGGAGATCAAGCTGGTCTGGCACGATCTACCTGTTGTAAAACCATGTTGTATTTTACCTCAATTATTGCTCACCTCTATGTCCTTAACTACTTTCTCTTTCAAAATTTATTCCAAGACTTTGCATACAGTTGAGGTGAAACTAACATGCCCGTAGTTTCCGGGATCCCTTTTTTCCCCTACCTTAAAAATAGGAACTATATTAGCAATTCTCCAGTCATAGGGTGCAACCTCCGAATTTACAGAGTCATTAAAAATCCTTGCTATTAAGCTTGCAATTTCATGTGCCAGTTCCTTTAATATTCTTGGATGGAGATTATCTGGACCTCCCAATTTAGTCCCATTAAGCTGTTTGAGTTTGACTTTCACCTCAGATGTGGTCATTTTTACCTCCATATCCTCATTCCCATTAGCCACCCTGCCACTACCTCTAAGCTCTTCATTAGCCTGATTAAAAATGGAGGTAAAGTATTTGTTTAGGTGTTAGGCCATGCCTAGATTATCTTTAAACTCTACCCCACCCTCAGTGGTTAGTGGTCCCACTTCTTCTTTCCTTGTTTTCTTTTTTGTTTATCTGACTGTAGAACCTTTCCCTATAGAAATTCCCTTTGCAAGGTCCAACTCTGCTTGACTTTTGGCAGTTCTCACTTAATCCTTACACCTTCTCACCTCCAAGAGGTAGTTTTCCTTGCTGATCTATCCCATCTTCCATTCCTTGTAGGCCTTCTGCTTTCTCTTAATCACCTGGTTGAGATGCTTGCTCATCCAGGTTGGTCTGCAACCCTTCCCTATGAATTTTTTCCCCTGGCTTGGGATGCAACCTTCAGATAGTTTCTGCAACTTTGACTTAAATTCCAAGCATCCTCCACATTCAGATCCTTGAGTTTTTTGGCCCAGTCCACTTCCCTAACTAATTCCCTTAATTTTTTTAAGTTAGTCCTTTAGAAATCAAGAACCCTAGTTGCAGATCTATTTTTGATTATCCTTCTATTTAGTTTAAACTGAATTAGCTTATGATCACTCGAACCAAGGTTGTCCCCTACAACCAGTGTGACGGGTTTATGCAGGGTAAAACGGATTTATCTGGGTTTAGACCCCATTGGGAGTTGGGCATCTGAGTGCTAAAGACAAGCACACTCCTGTGAGCTGTTTTTGGGTAAACTTGCAGTTTTGGGACAAGTGATTCAGACCCTGGGTCTGTGTCGAAGTGGACTGGAGTGTCTAATTCAGCAAGACGGGGTGCTGGAGTCCTGAGCTGGCAGGGAAAACAGAAGCAGGGGTAGTCTTGACACATCGGGTGGCAGCTCCCAAGGGGGTTTCTGTGATCCAACCCGTTACAAGATATATAAAGCTCCCCCAGGTATTAATACATACTCTGAGTAAATTACTAAATAAAAAGTGATTTTATTAAATACAGACAGTAGGATTTAAGTGGTTCCAAGTAGTAACAGACAGAACAAAGTAAGTCACAAGCAAAATAAAATAAAATGCGCAAATCTATGCCTAACCAAACTAAATACAGATAATCTCATCCTCAGAGATGCTTCAGTAAGTTTTTCTCAGACTGGACACCTTCCAGGCCTGGGCACAATTCTTTCCCCTGGTACAGCTCTTGTTCCAGCTTAGGTGTTAGCTAGGGGCTTCTCCATGATGGCTCCTCTCCCTCTCTGTTCTCTTCCACCCCTTTATATATCTTTTGCATAAGGCGGGAATCCTTTGTCCCTCTGGGTTTCCACCCCCCCTCACTGGAAAAGCACCAGGTTAAAGATGGATTCCAGTTCAGGTGACATGATCACATGTCACTGCAAGACTTCATTACTCACTTGCCAGCACACACATATACAGGAAGACTCAAAGGTAAATACAGCCATCTGCAGACAATGGGAGTCATCAAGATTCCAAACCATCCTTAATGGCCCACACTCTACATAATTACAATAGGCCCTCAGAGTTACATTTTATATTTCTAGTTTTAGATACAAGAGTGGTACATTTATACAAATCAGATTATCATACTCAGTAGATTATAAGCTTTGTAATGATACCTTACAAGAGACCTTTTGGATGAAGCATATCCCAGTTACATTATATCACTTATTACCGTATTTTCTCTAAATCTATCCCAGTTACATTATATTGACTTATTATTATATTTTTATAAAACCATGTAGACTGCACAACGTCACAACCAGTTCTTCTATGAGGTCCTCATTACTCACCAATACCAAATTTAAAATGGCTTCACCTCTTATTGGTTCAACGACTACAATTTAGTGACAAAAACAAAGCAAGATACCAGTCTGTGTTCATGATTTATCTGAATAACTTACCTGAGCCTGGACAGAACAACCTGCAGGAAGTTTAGGACCATGTTGAGTTCAGTTCCTCGACAAGCCGGGAGCAGCATACTAAATCCATCGTTCAACAACTTTTCCTGGGAAAGGTTCAAGTAGCAGCTGGTCTCAAACACTTCTTGAACACCATCAACGTAAGTGGAGAGTGGTGTCCAGAGATTTTGTTTGTGTGTGTGATCATTCTTGGTTACCAAAAACTCCTTTGCCTTTTCACAGAAAGCATGTGAAAGTTTCTCAGCTAGAACGCTGATGTCCATGTTCTTCTCAATATACATCAAAAGGAAGGCAAAGTAGCCTCTCCAAATGAGAGTTCTCTGAGACGTGCTGGTGGAGGTTGGGCTAAGAAAATCCAGGAGATCCAACACCCGACTTGCAATGTCCTCTGTCTCTGCAACAGCCGCTAACACAAGGAAAAGATTAAAGAAGTTCTGCAGCCCCACCTCTGTCAGCTCTCGCATTCTTTTCTGATGGAACTTGGAATAAATTCTACATAATAAAAAAAAAAATACAAAAAAGTTTAAATTATGTTAAAGCATATTTCTTTCCATCTCCTTGAAGAGCTGTACTAGTCCCATTTCATACCTTTACTCTAGCTCCACACACTTACTTTAAGCAATTCTTCTCTATTTTTAAATTTCTCTTCTCTCCCCCATCCTTTTAACTTGTTTTAACCTGGAACAAGCTAATTCCTTCCCTTCTTTTTCCCAATCCAGGGTGCATGCCAAGGGATTTCCAACCCACGGTGAAATCTAACCTTTCTCCCCATGTCAACTACTGTTGATGCAAGCGCCTCACCTCTAGCAGAAAGATTAGATTAGCCAGTACTACTGGAACAAAGCTTTGGCTCAGATGGTTTCCTTCATACCTTTCCCCCTTTCAGAACTGAACACATCACCATCAACTTAAGCTGGTACAGAACCAGCAACCTGCATATTAAGTGGGGCCTCTCAGTTGCAGCATGTGTTACTAGTGCTCCAGGTTCCGCAATGGATGCTCACTGGTTTTCAGGTGGAGTTTAAGAAGTCTGTTTTGACTTATAAAGCTCACAATGGCTTGAGAACACCGTACATGAAAAAATACCTCTTCTCCTATGCTATACTGCCACAGCTGTGATAAGACTTTTGTGCTTCATCCCCCTTGTGATAAAAGGGGTGGCAGGGGGGTTCGGGGGCTGTTGACACAGCATTCCCTATTGACCACCCTTTTTCTTCAGACTGCTCGCCCCCTTTCCTCAAAAATCTGGAATGGCCCAAACACACTCATTTGTGTAAACTGCAACGCCCTTCCTGTTTGAGAGAACACTGACAGAGGGCGGAGGCACTTGAGAGTGCAATTTCTATTTAGTGGGAAAGTGTGATGGGGGGCTTTAAGCTGCATTGGTCATATAACTGGTGGTCAAGTGATATGTGGCAAGGTAGCAAGAAGAAGTGCTGCTACTTTGCATATCCCAAGCTTTCACATAGGTGCCCTTTAATGTGGAGACTGTTAGACTGAACTCTAAAGAAATTTTACCATATTTTTAATATTTTTCTTAAGATATGAGGGAACAAAGGACTCAGCATGGTTTGTCCAAATTTTTACTGTTTGGGGTTAAAAAATACGGTATACTCTTCACCCTCCATTTACGACCAGTTCTACACATAATAGTTAACTTCCATAAACACTAATTTCCTCCTATCCTTTCACCTGGAAAAATAGTTAGAAATGGTGTTGAGGTTTTAAAATCTAGCCAAAAATTATAGCAAATCCCATTAATGTTGTTTAGTAGTAAATTACTACTGACAGGCATTTATGTTTTTCCATGCACCAATTAATGCTTGGTTAGCTGCTGAAAACAGAGTTCATCCCAAAATCATAGCTGTAGGCTGTTAAAATTTTGTTACTTGTATAATTGACTTATTCAAGGTAGAAATGATGAATGCTGGTTGAGCAGACTTGCACATGATATTGATTATCTATTATTATTCCCCCTCTTAAATTAAGGAATTAAAAAGCAAGTTAAAATAAGAGAAATATTAAGTATAGTTTCTTTTCAATAAAGCAAACTGGTTAATTAAAATTGCTAAATAAAACAAGACACTGATTCAGCAAACTTGGTCGTGGGAGCATTTTTTAAAACCCCTAAACTTTTTTGAATATAACAAGAGAAACACAGAAATGTGATATGTATAACTTTTACCTTGTTTATCACAACACACTTTCCTTTCTGGTAATAAATGTATTGTATTCCAATAAAATCTTAATTAAGATATTGCAAAAACACCCAAAACTTAATCTAATAGTTTGCTACATCCAATAACAATACTAATCAATTTATTTGTGGTCTGAAGTGAAAATCTACTTGTTTACAGGTTAAACCATTGTAAATGCAAGTCATTTGAAAAGTTATAGCACATTCACTGATCAGCAGAAGCAGAAGTTGTTATTCTTCTTAAAATACAAGATTGCAAGTTCATCACACATGTATATTAAATTAGAAAAACTAATGTTTCAGTTAACTATTTTTCATATGTCTTTGTACACAGCCTAATTATTCCTTTATGGTTATTGCCATATTTCAAAACTCACGAAGTAACAAAACTAAAACCTCACAAAAAAGGAAAAACTTAAAAAGTGGAAAAGTTGAAATGGCTATGAAAAGAAAGAAAGAAAGAAAGAAAAGGATATTATTGGAACTACTGGTATATGGCACCTGCCAAGTTAAAAGATTACCATACCTTCCTTTAATTTGTTTCCAAGGATGGGTTACATTGCTCTCCATTGCTTCTTTCATCATTTGTGCCAAAATACAGAGAAAAATTAGGTAACTGTTGCTGGACTTATACAGGTCAGGGCTCTGCTGGTCAGAACAGCAGTTTTTCACCAATTCAAGCATAGACAAAGGAGTTTTACTAACACTTGCTAGACCCTTCAGACCAAGCCACGGAATGGTGAAGGAACTATTCTGGAAGACAAATAAAGTAAAAGCAGGAAAGAACGTTAAGTGCTAAATAACTATGTAAATTCCTTCATACAAACAACAAAAGGTCATCTTCATATCACTACTGCCACCCAGAACAAAATGAACAAAATGCACTGTCACTGTATACAGAACTTCTTTAGGAAATCTCACTTTTCTCAGCCCTGAGCACAAATGATAATGGAGGTTAACACATCCCCAAACTTCCCCCATGACATGTGCAATATCTAGAAATTGAGATGTTCAAGAATATTTTTTTGTTACATGGTAGCAATTTATGGGACATTTCAACCCATGTTGAGCTAAAACGGATTAGAACTTTTTCACAAATGTGACTGCTATTTCAAGTGGTTCAGAGCATAAAGTAATTTCTCAGATAGAGGGGGGCACACTTGTAACTCTCGTTTTTCACATATGCATTTACTAACCAGATTCTTGCTGTAATACTCCCAGAGTATGGTGACAGTAGGTAGATTCAAGTCCCAGAAGCTACACAGAGTCAAACAGCACTGAAGATGCATTCGTATCTGTTCCTCTAATACAGCAGCCTTGTAAAAAAAAAAAATTTTGTTAATAAAAAAAACCCCATGTAGATTACAAATAACTTCAAGACTTCCAGACTGCTGACAACCTTCTTGTATAAATATTATTTCTAGTTATATACTTTTGAGTAAAAGTATCCACTATTATGAGCAGTGAGCTAGAAAATAATATCTGACAAATACAGGCATTGGCAGAGAGACAAGGCGAGTGAGGTAATATCCTTTATTAGACTAGCTTCTGTTGGTGAAAGAGACGTTTTTGAGCTTACACAGAGCTCGTCTTCAGGTCTGGGAATGTACTCAGAGTATTACACTAAAAACAAGGTGGAACAGATTGTTTAGCATAAGTAGTTAACACATATTTCAAGGGGCCATTCAAGGTGAAATGGCCCATTAACACCCCTCCAGTCACAAAGAGGAAAGGAAGGGAGAGAGAAAAAAGGGAGCCAGATGGGGGGAGGGGGAGGGGGCCAGAATGATGTTAGTGGGTTACAGATTGTTGTAATAAGCCATAAATCCAGCATCTCTATTCAGTCCAAGATTTTTAGTGTCTAGTAAAGTTATGAATTTAAGCTCCCAGGCTTCTCTTTTGAAGGTGTTGAGCAGATTTCCTTTGAGAATGAGAACTGAGGTCAGATGTAGAATTGTTGTTTTGTGAAAAAAAGTGTTCACCCACAGGTGATATGATATTTTTGTCTTTTCTCGTTTTTCTATGAGAGTTCATTCAAGATAATAGTGATTGTGTCTGTCTTCACCCACATAGTTGTTAACGGGGCATTCAGTGCACTGGATGAGGTGCACACAACATTTTGTGATAGGCATGTATAGGATCCATGGATCTTGAAAGGTGTGCTGTGGAGGGTGTTGATCACTGTAGCACTGCAGATATGTCTGCAGTTTTTGCATCTGTTGCTCTGGCAGGGTCTGGTGTCACATTGACTAGTGTGTCAGTCTGTGGGGAGCTTGCTTCTGATGATGAGTTTGGAGAGGCTGGGGTGGTTCTTTGAAGGCCAGAAGAGGGGCTTCAGGAAAGATTTCTTTCAGGGTGGGGTTCCCATCGAGTATGGGTTGTAGTTGTTTGAGAATATTCCCATATGAGTTCCAGTGGGGGGGGGTGGGAGGTAACCGCTAAGGATGTGCGGTCGAAGGGGATTTTATTTCTGTAATGAAGCAGGTTCTCTCAGGGTATTTGGGTAGCCCACTCCATGACACAATCCACTTTTCTGGTGGAGTGTCCTTGTTTGAAGAAGGCGGTTTTAAGTGTGTTAAGGTGTATATCCCAAACTTTCTCCTCAGAGCATATTCTGTGGTAGTTAAGGCCTGCTCTACACTAGAAAATTAGGTCAGTTTAACTAAGTGGGTCAGGGGTGTGAAAAATCCACACCCCTGAGCAGTGTAGTTAAACCAACCTAAGCCCCTGTGTAGACAGTGCTAGGTCGACGGAAAAATTTTTCTGTTGACTTAGCAACCCCCTCTCAGGGAGGTGGATTCCCTATGCCGACAGGAGAATACCTCCCATTGGCGTCGGTAGTGCCTACACCAAAGCCCTACGGTAGTGCAGCTGTGCTGCTGAAGCATTTTAAGTTTAGGCAAGCTCTCCATGCCTAGGTGTAGCTAACAGATTTCTTGGTGATTACTGGATCTATGAAGGTAGATGTAGTGATCCGTGGCTTCTTGTATATAGTTGTCTGTAGTGTTTCACTGTTTAAGCTGACCGCAATGTCGAGGAAGGTGATGCAATACTGGCATTGTCACCCAGTAATACTCTACAAGTAAGCAGTTAGCTGTTAAACTACAATCGTAGGTTATGGTGCACATTCTTAGTTGTATTTAGATACAGTAAACTCACATATAGCGAAACCAGGTTTATAGGGCCATACGCTTAGCGTGATGCAGAAATCTCAAAAGATGGTACATGGGGCAGGGACTACAAGGAATGTGAGAGGCACAGTAGCATCTTCCAATAGCACATGCCCAAGTTATGCATAGCTTACTGTGGCGAGGCACCTCCTTCGTCTCGCCAGACTTAGCACTTCCCCCTCTGGTGGTGGCAGGCCTGGGGTAAATCAGCCCCACTCTGAGCAGTGTTTGCCTTCCTCCTTCTGTGTTTCTTTGGCCGTATTTTCAGGGTAGGCCTCGGGTTCGGCCTAAGGGGTGATCCTCCACCAAACAAAAAGTAAACAGTCTCTCAAACTCAAAACCAAAGGTGGGTATCTTTCCCTGCCTCCTCACTGGGGCAGGGTGTTGTCCTGTTGTTTTCCCCAGAGTGTCAGTCCTTCCCCTAGCATGCAATCAGATTTGGATGTTTCCCTTATGGGAAGAAGCTCAACTCTCATCTTGGAGAAGCTTATTTCCCTGCTGCCACTAGCCTGGCAGCAGCTTGGCTTGTCTCTCTCTCTCCTTTTCTCTCTCCAGAGGAAAGGTTTTTAAAGGCCTCAGGCAGCCCTTAATTGGATTCAGGGGTCCCTAATTGACCTGAGGTAACCCCTTCTCAGCTTGTAGAAAAAGAGCCTTTAACATTCTAGGACTAACATATTGGCCTTCCTGGACCCTCTTACAGCCATCAGGCCTGACCTTGCCCCATTGAGTAATGTGACAAAGTGATGGGTGGCCTAGCTACTGCTGATGAGAAGCAGCCAGGGAACAGCTAATCTAAAAGTAATGTTCCTCTCGCCATTGCCAATAACTTAATATGACATTTTGCAGCATATGTTACTGCTGCTCCAAACAGGAGGCACTTCCCTCTCTGTAGCATGTTCGCAGAAGAACCATGTGCATGAGAAGATTAGGGGCTTGCCACTGCCACTATGGCACCTGTGAGGTTTCAATATCCCTACTAGCTCTGTTGCAAAGAAGGGAGCATTCTGTTCATTTACCACTCCCAAGATTCCACCCAGATTTGGGCCATAGTAAAGACAGAGAAAAATCCAAAATTGTTTTTAACACATTGGCAAGTCCAGCCTGAAATTCTGGTCATTGTGAGATTACAGTGAAATTGTTCTGTACATGTAGGGATGTCACTACACGAGGATTCCACTGCATATTTCTAAGTGACCAAACTCATGCAATATTAAGAATAATTAAAGGAGTTATGGGGGGGGGGGAGAGAAAGGAGCAATAAAAGAGTACCTCCCTGAAGGGGGGGTTCCAAAAGAGGATGGAGCTCAGCTGATCTCAGTGTAGGCAGATGACAGAACAAGAAGCAATGGTCTCAAGTTGCAGTGGGAGAGGTCTAGGTTGGATACTAGGAAAAACTATTTCACCAGGAGGGTGGTGAAGCACTGGAAGGGTTACCTAGGGAGGTGGTGGAATCTCCATCCTTACAGATTTTTAAGGCCCAGCTTGACATAGCCCTGGCTGGGATGATTTAGTTGGGATTGGTCCTACTTTGAGCAGGGGACTGGACTAGATGATCTCCTGAGGTCCCTTCCAACCCTAATCTTCTATGATTCTATGAATCCAGGACTCGCCTTACTATCTGAAGCTTTGAAATATCTTGCTGGGGAAGAAGAGAAATGCCTGCCCATCCCACAGATAAAGGTCATGGAGTTATTTCCTCCAATTCCAGCCCCACTGCCAGTCCTCGCATTGCATAGAATGCGTAGCTCAAGTAGCTAGTTGTTTTTCTTGGGCTTTAGACCAGCCCCATTTCAACCTGTGATGCTAAAGTAGCTATGCAGATTAAAACTCATTAAGTCATACTTGACTGCCTGAATCAATACATCCCCGGGGGAAAATATTATTTGCCACATTTTATCAGAACAGTGTGAGCAATCAAAGAAATCATTTGCAATAGACTCAAATTCTTTCTGCCTTCTCTTCCTATGTGCAATGAATATAGCGTGCATGGTCACCTGGCAGACTCTCAAACTTTACAAAATAGCATATTTCTAAAATAAATTAAAGGGTGATGCAGGATTTTCATTTGTAAATCTGGAAAAAGGATATTCTCTACAATTTATATATGAAAGCATGTGAAAACCCCCACAAATGTTTGCATTCTATTTCAATGAGCCCAACATAAAAAATTTTGGAGAAAATACTTTGTGAATTTATTAAGTATAAGAATGTACTACAGCTGAGGACTTCCCAATTTTTGTTTTTACATTTAATATAATTTTACACATTAATCAATAATCTCCATAAAAGAAGACCCTGAGAATAAATCTAATCTGAAAACTAAGATTCTTCAACCATAACAGTTTCCAATGCCTCCTCTGTCTAAAGGAGAGTGAAAGTGGGTATCTTGCAAATAAGAATTACAACAGGCCAAGGTATTAGTTTCTCTAGACACCAACCAAGTTGCAAGACTTGTTATACCAAGGACTATAAGAAGAAAATTAATAGTGTCCATTCTTAGAGCCATATTTTTGCCCACAGGATAATATCTGGGACCTAGCTTAAAAATTCAACAAAAAACAACATTGTGCTCTTCTTTGATTTCAGACCTTCATTATCCCAGTGTCCAATATTACATTAGAGCAGACTTCTACTACAAGATATACATTGTAGATTTTATCTCAAATGTAACATGAAACAGTCCTCCAGACTTTATATATTACTGGGTATCATGCACTCTCCATTTAGGATTACTTTTTTTTGTTTAATATGAACTCCTGTGCTGCTGGATATAATCAGAACTTATGAGGGGTTCAACACCAGATATAATCAAAATGATAGTACTACCTAAACATCTCCCCCCATCTTTCATATGTCACTAGTCTCCTTAGATTATAAACTCTTGATAGTAGGGAGCATGTCTTCTTTGGCATTAATACAGCACTAACTACCTGGGGACCACCATGCTGATATGAGCCCTGCAGGAATATAAATATTAAATAATAATAATGCCCAACCTCCCAGATATATGTACTACATGAATAGGATCTCATCACTGCTTATCTCTGTACTGCCAACAGATGATTGGTTCAACTCTATCGAGTTCTTAAAGATTTTTTTTTGCAGCTGCTATTGTAGTTCTCAGAAGGATGGGTATGTCTTTTCCTTTGTCCAGCAGGAGTTACCAACTGTGACCCAGAGACCACTTGGTGCAAACTTGCACAGGGGTCACAGGGATTTATAGGGATCTCCGGGGTCAGCTATATGCACAATAGCTCACCAAAGTGTGGCGTGTAAAAGCCAGTAGCCCACAGGTCATAATAATCATTGTGAAATATATGTATGGATAAAAATGTAAGAAGTTATGTATCTATACTGAAAATTACATTCTTAAAGCCTTGGAGCTAAGGCAGGTTACCCAAAGGTGACATGCCTTGGACATGGTCCTTTCAGGCAGGGGGTAACAGATGGTCTATTCGTTTATTGGTTGTCTGCTTCACAATACAGGCCTATTTGCATACTGAGCCAGGCGCCAGTCAAAAGGTTGTCTAAGCTACAAGAGAGAAAATTTACAGGAACAAAACAAAACAGCAAGGAGGTGTCTTGTTTATGAATGAAGACAAGTAAAGACTTGTATATCTTGGGGGGCAAAGGAACACACTGGGTCCTTTGCCTAGGAGGCAAGCTAACCGTTTGCCTGTCTCATTAAAGGAGGATCATAGCCGGCTTGGTTATAAAGTGCAAGGACTTCTGGTGATCACTCGACAAGACATGAGAATGCCTAGTTAATTAAGTCCAGGCTCTAGAATGCATGCTATGATTTTACTTCATATATAACCATTTGTTCCAATACATCTACCTGCTATTACTTGAATCTCTATGCTGTGTTAAATATAACTTATGTTTATAGGGAAACCAAGTACATCTAAGTGCTGTGTGTTAAGTGGAGAGGCAATCTGAGGCAGAACTGGTGAACTGTTTCTTTGGAAGCAGCAAATCTGTGAATAGTGCAAGCATCCAGTAGACCAGGGGCTGGACACAGAGACATGCAGAAGGCTCGAGGGTTGTGGTGTGCCAAGCACTAACCTGCAGGGGCTCATGGAGCCTAGAGTGGAGTGGAGCCTTGTGTTGCCAGCGGCCAGTAGAGTTAGGAAGCTGACCCACGTCAGGCACAGACAGGCTTCCTCATGCTAAGGGTGAGGTGCCTCACAACCCTTGGTACCCCCAGGCAGTGTTACACCAACGAAGTGGAGTAATTTGAGGCCAGGCCTGAGCAGTTAATTCCAATAGCATTATCCTACCATTTTCACAAAGAACACTATCCACCCTTCAGTCATGTATTGGCTTTTACTACTACACAGCCTGTTCCTCCATTTGATTCTGCTCCCTTGATCTGCCATCCTGCTGCACTTCTCTCCTTCCCACGCCTACATTATCTAGTCCTTGTGACAGTTATTTTAAATATACCAGAGGATAAACCTCCTTCATAGGTATTATTTTTATTGTTTTTTTTTTTGTTTTTTTACTGATTCCACACACACAACATTGAGCAATCCCGTAGCAATATTTTCTACTCAAAGTTAGCAGCCATTTAATATTAAGTAATGAACCACTTAAATAGAACATAATCCAGCTGTCGTCTTAGACCATTGCCCATGACCTGAACTTATCCCTATACCATTTTGCAGCTTGGAAGATGGGGTTTTCTTTCTGATGGAAGAATCAGGATTTAGTGTTTTAGAACAATGACCCCCAAAGAGCCTCTTACGGTGTCATTATTAACCTTGTTTAAAAAAACAAAACAAAACAAAAAAACATGACTTATATCTGATGGTGGAACCTAAGCTAATTGGAATTCTAAACTGTCTTTCATTCAAAATTTGTTTAACGAGCACATAAAAAATTTCTTCTACTTAACCTGCATTTTTCTTTAAAAATAAAATCCTACAAAACATTAAGCATTCACAACAGAATAAGAACATTTTGCACAAGATGTTAATAAAACTAGCATTGTCTTCTTTGCCTTCAAAAATGCTAGTATAAAAAGACAGAGCATAGGAAAATGGTTAATAAGGTAATACCAAATGTTAAGCATCTAATTCCCATCACAAATTTCTCTAGTTTCTCTCACAGTCTTCTAAAATCCTTGATACATCTATAATGTACATATTGTACTACACCCTTGATATGGATGCAGTTACGCACACTTTGAAATGTTCAATAAACCATGAAAATAAGAGATAGTTAGTCTAGTATTCTGCCAAATGACTTCTCTAAACAAAAACAGGTACATGAACATAACTTTCTCATAGCTAGCAGGATTACAGATTAAAACTGCAGATACTAACATGAATTGAAATACAGTTTGCAATTTAAATTAAGGTTTGAAGATAAATTTCCTTTGTCAATGTGAAAGTCAATTTTTACAACATATGACCCATTTTTATATTGGCTACATTTACATATTCAAGTGTTTAAACAAAATCTAGACCATACATTCGAACCCTGCACACATGCCTCGGACAGATGTTAAAACAAAGGTACAGCTCTAATAGATTTTCACAGTAGGACACAATTAACAAAAAAAATAGAGTCCTCTTAGATGAGATTGGTCTTCATTCAGCAGCCATGTTATCATAATCTAGGACCTCCCTCCAACATTGTTTAAACTGTGCTAATAGTAACTGTTTTTAAATACAAACGTGGTTGTTGATACCCTGCCTTCTCTAAGCAATGTAGTCCATTGTTTTTTTCCCCTCCCTCTGAGAGTTGTTCAAGCAAAACCTTGCAGCACTGCCTGATTATAGTCTACAGCATAATTTCTAGCGCCATTAAAATATATTTCTCTTTCTTTTCAATGGTCAGGAGAACTACGTTAGAGCTGTGCTAGCAACAACTGTATTTGTGAGAAACACTGCGCCCCTTATTATGGCTTTCAACCATAGTGTAGAGAAGGCCCAAATGAAAAACCATCTTCCTCTTTCAACCGTAACATATTTCAACATGTTTTTCTCTCAACTGCGATCAAAAGGGAAATAATCAGCAGGTTTAGTCTTATTGCTTAGTATGTAGGTAGTCTTACGCGCACACAATTATTTTTGTAGCTGTTGTCGTTACAGAAATTACGGTTTGTACCACACAACTTAAGAAGACATATACAGAGCTGCAATGTAACATGTTTAAAAATGTGAAGAACAGCATATTTAAAAGCTCTTTAAAAGGAGGTCAATTCTGACCTCTGGGCCATGAAGCAATGCATTAACAGCTCTGCAGAAAGAAAAATGATAAGGTATGAAATGAGTGCTCAGAAACTAGAACCTTATCAGGAAGAGTTTGATTCAAGCCTGTAAGACAAATTGCTCAGCAAGGCAAGTCACCTTCCTGCTGTGATGAGGATATAGCTGAATTTTCAATGCAATGACTATCTCTCCCATCATGTCTCCTCAACTTGATAGCCTTACATTCAGTGTACGGTTTACATTTTCTAAGCATCCAGCTCTTATTCTGAATACATCTTGTCAAAGTAGCCACATGCACTTCCAGGATAATTATCTTTTCCCTTTATCTGACAATTTAACATCAAGCACAACCACTTTAAAGTAAGTGTAGTCGCTAACAAGAAGCCAACTGTACACTGTCTTAGTTCAGCTACAGCAAAGATGTTCAATACAATCAAAATAAAGAAACTAAATTCCAAAGACAAACTTGTTGGTTGGATACTTTGCTTCATGTGCTGCATGCTTCTCAAAAATCACCTCAACCACTATTCTTTATTCCTCCCCGTACTTACTTGAGCATCAGTGGACCTTTTCAGCAGTTCTTCCACAAAATTCCAATTGGATTCTACTTGTTTCTGGAAAGGAATGGTTGTCAACGTTAAATATCCGTTTTTCATAGTAGACATTATGTAATATTGTAAAACATGAAAACAAGAGTACAAGCGATTTCCTGAAATTTTCCACTTCCTGAAAGCATTTTGCAATAGTTGTTTAAAAGAGTCCCTTTGCATTTATATATGCAATTGATATTTCCCCCAACTTTAGACTATTTGCACTCTCAAAAATAAAATTTAAAAAATATGTGTCTCTATTTCTGTCTTTATAGCATAAGTGTTACTCTAACCTTGTCAGGAGATTGTATTTTATTCCTATGCATAGCTCTCAGTCAGTCACCAAAAATTAGTAAAGAAACAAAACGTTTATGCCATTTGTACATCAATCCCTCTAGTGACAGCTTCCACATGTAATAAATCTGTATTACAGTTTCTCAAAAGTAACAAAAAGATCAGCAGCCCTCTAAAATGGAAAGGAGGGAAGCAAAGTACAGACTCCTTCTTCTCTTTCTTTGCAAATCTTTCACTAACTCATTTTACCTAGGTCAAACAGCTGTTTAATGCTAATAAATGTCAGACAGTACCAACTTGGTCCAGAGTATTATCTGTTGCCTAGACAAAGTCCAGCTCAAAAGATTGTAGGGCAAATCAAACAAGGATCATAATTCATCACCTTCATGTCTGACAAGATTGATGGATGTTTCAAATGGGCATTCAGATCACTTCTACAAAGCAGAAGTATGAATGGAAAAAAAAGTTCAGACTAAAGACAGTAAAGCTGTTTAAACATCTGGTTATGTAAGGTGTGGAAGAAAAGGGAGACATGTTTTTATAACCAAGAACATCTGCCAATAAAAATGTACATATAGATTTCTACCACAAACTTGATTACTTAAAGCCCTGATAATCTCTTACTTCCTTTATCTGTGCTACAATATCCACATAGAGGATCTCTGTAACCTTATTTTCCCATTACTTTTCTCCTCTTCACTTCTCTGTTGAATCCTGTCTTTATCTAAATTATAAACTCTTTGGAGCAGACGTCCTTTATAAATTTGCACAGAGTCCGGCATAATGGGCCTATGATTGGGATTTCCAAATGTAATAAAAAAAATAACTATCCTCTCCTGCTTCACATGACTATGGTTCAGTTCAGTGCCTATCCCAGCTAAGAGAGAATTTTAAATACTAACTAATGTAAAAAGATATACTGCCGTCTACTTTTCAACACTAGTATCATTTGAGAGTTTAGCAGATATCACACTTTTGCATGACAAAAAAAAATATTCAAAGGAATATGATGGAGGTGGTGGTGCTGGTTCTTCACAAATTAATACAAGAGATCAGAGGTGAACAAAGGATGGGCCTGCAGGAGAGGAGGACAAGGACAAATGAACACAGAACAGAAAGGAACAGCAAAGGGGAAACATACTCCCATTTTGAAAGGTAAAAGGAGATGTCATTCTGTTAGGAAGAAGAGTAGGTAAAATGGGCATATATTAAGGCAGGTGACCTGCTTAGGAATGAGGACAGTAAATTTGGTGCCTGAAGTAGGAGAGAAGCAATAGACCTATTAGGATATATCTACACTGGAACAAAGATAAGTTTAATTTTAAAGGCTTTTTATATTATATTAAATATAAATATTAATAAAATTTTCCACTTCATATTTGGCTCTTATATTTTAGACTTTGGTGTTATTTTGAACACCAAACAGAGAAAATTGGAAAGTAACATTTTGGTTTTATGAGCCTCGGAGTGCAAGCTAGTTGAGAATTTTCCTACAAAACAGATTTTCACCAGAAGATGCTTACTTGTCAACACTGAAATGTTTCACAGAAACAGTTTCAATGAACTTCCAATAAAACACAGGCAGGGGTCCATTGCAAACCTGCCTGGTTTCCTGCCAGTTCACCTGCGGGTTGTTGCGAGGCGCAGGCTTCCAAGGTCCATGGCTCCAGGGCAGCGCTGCCTCAGAATCAGGGACCCCAGGACTTCCAGGGTCCACAGCTCTTGGACACTCTACCATGCAAACTGCCCCAGGGCAGGAGATCTCCGTGCTTAAAGGCTCCCTGCTGCACAGCCAGAGAGACTGGCAGCCCTGAGTATTCCAGTTCAAGCTGGGCTTGGCTCCTGACTCCTCAGCAGGGAACCCGGAAGCCCTGATAACTCCCAGCTTACGCCGGAGCTCTCGGGGGTCCTACTCTGGAACCTGGGAGCCCTGGCTCCCAACTGGGTGGATTGAATTAAATCACCCATTTTAATCACGATTTCAATCAGCAAGCAGAAAAACTTGATTTAAACCATCAATTTTAGCCATGGTTTGCATTTCTATTTTATAGTTATTTTCCTATAGAAAAGTTGATTCTCATTGGCTTGTACTTGTTAAAACATGTTGATCTGCAATTAAATATTAGCCTATAGAATAAATTTGGTCCTTCTTTTTGCTTACCAGAAAGATACAGTGTAGTGTATCTATACATATTTATTTAAGCAAGTATATAGCTTAATTTACACATATTCAGTTTCTTAATTTTTCATCATGTTAGAAAATGGTCAATGATCCATTTCTTATTTATTATACTATTAATTTTGGATGGAAATTCAAAGTTAAACAAACAGCATTTTTATTATTAAATAGAACTACCTTAAATGTGATGGATACACATGAAAAAAAGTTTAAATATAAAACATGTTTTGATAAAACTAACATTTATTAAACAAAGTAAGTATTGTCCGTAATTAGTGAATTAAACTGATTGTTCCTGGTCATCAAGTCGATCAAGATTTTAGAACTAGTAGATCTCATTCTTTCACACTTAGTTTTTATTCATAAACTGGTACAGGAAAACAAGCTCTCTTACTTTTTCTACTCCCAACAGGTTTCTTAACTTTGAATGAACAAGTCATTGAATTGAACTAACTGAATAAACAGAAATGAAGAAAATATTCCCTCGGCACTTGCAGCAGAGGCTACTGCTGTCAAAAGCTGGTTTAGCACTTTAACGCCTGGTTGCAGAGGCTTAGCAAGTAACTTCCACCATTCAGTGGTTTGACTTTCTTTAAAATTTAGCAGCAAATATGTACTGCTTAATATTATTTATATAATTTAAATTACTTTAATAGATTACAATATAACATAGCTTGCCAATTTATTTTAAATAAGTTTAAAAATATTTTAAATCAATTTTTTTATTATTGATTTTTATCTACCCTACCTACCAAGCTCCAAGGTTTCTGGCTCAATTTTCAGTACCATACATTCTGATGATTGCTATGCAAAAAAACTGTTGTTCCAAAACAGAATTTTATTTTTTTTTCAGAATTTCCCCCAAAATGGAAATTCCAGCTTTCAACCAGCTCTAGTAAACACATCAAGATATCTGTCCAGCCCAAATTCACGGACAGTATATCAGAAGCAGCACACCTAGTGTCCCATAGCCAAAGTTCACAACATAAATATATAAGGCTTCTTAAAACCAGTGTCCAAATAACAGTTGGGCGGGGGTATAGGGGCAGGGGAGATTGGAAGACTTCTTACAGCCAAAATCAAAAACAGGAAAATCACCAGGTCTCCTTTCCACTACTTCCAGGAGAAATCTAGGGTGAAATCCAGGGCCTCCGTAAAAACTGATGCTAAAATTCCCACTGAATTCAATGTCCAAGTTTTCGCCCTTAGTCTCTAAGTCAGTCCAAACTCAGAGGGAGAATGACATCCAAAAACCCAATACATTCCCTCTTATGGTCTCAATTTTCTCTGCTCATTAAGAGAACTCATCTCATCTGAATCCAGCTAAATTCCCCCCATAATTGCATTCCTCTGTTATCTTGGCAGTGAGGGGAGACAACTGTTTAAAACCTATCCCTGCCAGCCAATATGTAGTTTCAACACACCTCATTCCAAACCCAGTGGCTCCCAAGCCAAAAAGATTAGTCCTCAGGCTGGCAGAGTCCAGTAACCATCAACCATACCCATCGTGTAAGCATTCATCATGCAGTTAAGCCAAAACTTCAGCTGCAACCTTTGGCGTCCATCGGCAGCAGCTTTTCCAGGTGTCGACAAAGGCACTCTCCTCTCCTAGATCACCTGGCAGAGCTGTGCTAAGCTTCTCTGCTGGAAGTTGCTCTTTTCATATCTTATACAACAGTCACTTCAGACAATTCAAAGGCAAAAATCTCCAGCCCCAAGTAATTCTGACTATATTTCCCTACCCCACAGCAGTGTTAAAATTGACCCCTGCAATGTTCAAAAGTGGCGATTTTTCTCTCCAAGCCCTGTTTGGTTTTTAAATGTATGAAAAGTACTTTTCAGAATAATGTGGCGTGGTCTGTGTTTCGGTTAGAGAAAATAGAAAAATAGGCGGACTGTGCACCCCTCTTCACTCTGAGAAATGAAGACTGGATAGTTCCCTATATGGGCAACAGAGGAACTGGACACAATTTTCCTGTTTAAATCTACATGTATGAAATGACTATGTTATACGAACTAAAGAAAAAAAGAACTACGTCTGAACCCTATTTAGAATTTTAAAAGCTTTCATATTAACCTCAAGGCCAAAGCAGTCCACATTAGAAAACTGAAACTCTTCCACAGATGACACAGGACTAGAGGCAATTTCCGCTAAGGACCATATGAATAACCATCATTATTATACATCACCCTCCCACCTTTGATCACAGTTTAATAAGAGAAAGAACACGTATAATAGAGTCCTCTATCACAGCTAACTGTTAACCAACAAAAGTAAGCTGAATTCATTCCTGGTATAACTCCCCTGACTTCAAAAAGCTTACATCAGCTATTACTTTAGCCCCTTATTTTCAAGGAAGATTCCAGGCTGTAATTCAAAAAAAAATAGAAAATTAGCACTCACAGCTACCACTCTGAAACTGATCTCCTGTGGTTTGTGACAAAATGTTATAATTACTTACAGAACTTTGTAAGCATACACAGAACTCTGTAAGGTAACTAAAAGGCAAGATCTGTGGAGAAGATTACAGCCAAACTCAGAAAAATATGA